TTTATTCTTTTTTCCTTCACAATCCACTTGGAATAGCATCCATCTTCTCCATTATTTTCCTTTCCAATATTCCTTCCCCATCACTGATTCGACCAATTTTACATTCCAGAAAACTTGTTACTTGTGTTCTTTCTCCCTAACATGACATTTCTCCTTTAATGTATCCTATATAACACCACCAGCTGAACTTTTCAAATCTTAGGGCAAAGACAAAACAAGTTCTTCCTGCTCAGATTAGTTACAGCTTCCAAACATGTGCAGCCTTCTGTCATTTGCAGACACAAAAGACTGGCAAATCTCCTTCATGTCCACCTGATCAAGTCTATCTTGGTCTATGTGACAGACAGCTACATTGTTCAAACGTTGCTGTTTCATGGAGGAGTGAAGCCATATCTTAAGCCTTCTTGAAGCACCAAAACTTTTTTCAGCCTCAGCTGAAGAGCACTGCACAACAAGAAGTAGCCTGACCAACACATCTCCCTGTGTGAATAGAGCACATAGCTCTGGCAGCAGAGGTCTGAGAGGCTCTGCTACTTCACTGTGTTGCATCTTTGTAAAGAATCTCCAAATGACCAATGTGACTGGGGAGAGATCAAATATTGCGAACAATTAATCGCCATCCAAGAATATGGTGGCTGTGGCTGAGTGGTTAGAGCAATCGTCCACCAATGCAAGAGTCTGGGGTTCGAATCCACCAGCAGCCACATACCGAAGTGTCCCTGGGCAAGACACTGAACCCGTCATTGCCTCCGATGTGTGTCCCATTGGTGTATGGATGTGATCTAAGCACTGATTAGTCTCTTTAGAATTATTTGTTCAATTAGCAATGTAGAGATCTACTAGAGTGCTGCATGAAAGTGTAAATGAGGACACAGGTTGTAGTGTAAAGCGCTTTGAGTATCTAAATAAGGTAGAAAGGTGCTATAAGTACAGGCCCAGTCCCAATATCAATCTATACTGTCCTACTGTTAAAGTAAATTAGCTTTGTCCTAATTTTTCATTATTTAGTTGAACAGTAATTTAACATGGATAAGGACTAGTAGAAGACAAACAAGGTTTTAGCAAAAGCTGGACATTGTGAGATGTCAGTGGGACTGACATAACCTACACAAGTTTTGAGCAGCCTGCACTGATGAGTCATCATTTATGCTCAATGACATGCAGTGTGGTGAGTTGTTGTAGGTAACCAGAAAAACCCAGAGTGGATTTTTAGTGGTTTGAGTATTCTTCTATTAATCAAGTGGAATGGATGGAAACAGTGCTGGGTGAACTAATATTTCATGGTAAATGTGTGTGTGTGTGTGTGTGTGTGTCCAAATGAATGTTTTTTAAATGTGAGGGGGACATGTCCCCTTCACAAATAGTTAATGTGATGCTTATGGCCTTATCAAACATAAAAATGGCCATAACAAAGTCAGTTTTACAGCTATTAAGCTAAATGTTGATATAACAGTGGTCGAGAATCATTGTCAACACATATTCCAAATACTAACAGGTTCCAAGGTACCGGTAATCCATAAATTGTGTGATTGCTCATAACATTATTTTTAAGACTACATCATTTTTCAAGACAAAATAGTCTTAGTTTAAATCTCTTGCACGAAAGGCAGCGAGCTGTAGATGTTCTTCCTATGGCCGTTGTTTTTCATTTGTGCAACATTTTTAATTTCTTCGCTTTTACTTCCTTAAATATTATCCAAGTTAAGTGTTGTATGAATTTGTTGTTTCAGCTTGATGCCTTATTTTGAAATCCTGTCACATCACTGGACTTTTACTCATCTGTAATTGCCCTATGTCTGAGCATCAGCTCTGCTGTGAGAGGGGCTTCATGTCTACACTTTCATTCAGTCACCCGTGGTAAATTCATTTTACGGAAAGGACTGCGGAAAAAAGCAGCCTGTGTCAGCCTGTCATCTGCAGAGGGACAGGGGTTTGACAGCTGTGACATGCGCTACGCACACTCCCCTGGCTGTCCATCAGCATTACCCTCCTCCTGTCGGTGCAACCCTGTGGTTGGCCTGATAATGTGACTTGTTAATTAAGCATGCAGTAGATTAATTAAACTGATACAAAGGTGTGGATTTACTTGCGTTGTCGCTGCCAAGGTGAGATGAGAGAAAGGCAACGAATTCATGTGCACAGGATAGACTGAATTAAGTCAGATGTTTGAGAAGTGTCGATTTTTTGTAGTAAGAAATTGGTTAAACTGAGCCAAGCACTGAGAGTTTGTTTCCACTTTAACAGAATAAAAGTGTAGAAACAAAGACGCATTATCAAAGTAAAAGAAAACCGGCAAAATGATGGAGAAATGTCAAAACTGACATGCTGGAGTCAGAATTTCGTAATCCCAGACAAACCAAAAAGGCTCTTTAAAAAAAAAAAGAAAATGAGTTATTTGATCAGCAAAGAGGAAAGAAACAGCAAATTATTCAATCATTCATTTATTTATCAGAGCTGAGTTCTGGTGTGAACAGCTGTGAGTTTATATCTGCTACAGAAACAGTGAGCCTTAACCTCAGCATTCTTCAACGTCCCCCCCCCACCCCCCCGTCACAAACTCACAAATCCAGACATAAACACACAATCAGAGCTAACACACACACAGTCATACAAGCAGGAGCTCAACACACCTCATAATCCTCTTCAAACCCAGCAGCACAGCTTTGAATAATAATTTCAACATGACTCCGATTGTTGCATCATATGTTCAACCCATTCAGTTTCATCAGACGTTGCGTCAGCTGATTACTCACTAAATAAACCCAACAAGTCTTTTTTTTGCTTGCATTTTAGTTAATAATAATTGTAATAAACTTTGACCTTGTAATGACAAAACCCCTCCTGGGATGGCGTGTTTGACATTCTCCAAACATGGGTTTGTGCATTTTGAGTTCCCTACTTTGGTCTCATCTGTCCAGTGGTCATCGTTCCAGATGTACAGTGGTTCATTCAAAAAGGATTTTGCTAAACTATGAAAGTTTTACTAAAATGTAATGCCGTATACTTTTTAAAGAATCCTAGCTAAGAATGTGCTCAAATCTTTTCTTCCAAACAAAAAAGAACATGTGTTTTTCTATACTTTCTACACATTCAATTTACTTCTAATTGTACTTTTTTTTTTGTTTTTGTACATTTACTGTTACATTTTTTTAATTTTACATGAGGAAGACAATATTATTATTTTTAAATGGCCTATTTAAAGTCCTATACAATTGAAGATGGGTGGATGGGAGTGGTGGCGCAGAGGTTAGAGACAAGGAGTCGGTAACTGAGAGGTTGCCAGTTTGAATCCCCTGACTATTATATCACAATTTGTGTAGGGAAGGTGAAACACATATGCCTACCTCCACCCCCATTTGCTCCTTTGTGGGTCTTTGAGCAAGACACTTAATCCTCCACCTCCTCCCCTGGGCACCTTGGATAATAACCCTCTGCTCCACACATATGAGCTGTGGCAGCTCAGTTTGGTTGTGGCAGGAACGGCATTAGGTGTTTAAAAAAAACATTAATTTCCAAGTCTTCATGCGAGTTCACTGGATGCAGTTTCCTCTGAGAAAAGGGAGCAGCCAAAAGTACAAATAAATAAAGTTTTGTGGACTTTCATTTTTCTATGACTATATATCCTGGTAATGATTTATAAAATAACATGCATTTTGTTTTTCTAAATACTCCAGTTTCCTCCTGTACACCAAAAACATGCATAATTTAGCTGCCTTCAGCCCCAGGCCTCCCTTGAAAAAGAGATTTGTCACCCCACTGGGATTTGTCTGCTTAAATTAAAAAAAAAAAAAAAAAAACTTAAATAGTCAATAAAACAGCATTTGCTGGTGTTGATAAACTGCTTCCTATTATTTATGTTTTCTTTTGTGAGCAGCTGTCTGAGTGGTTAGAGCAGTTGGCCTCCAATGGGAGAGTTGGTGGTTTGATTCCACCAGCAGTCAACAGGTTCAAGTGAATATGGTGGTTGGTGTTATATGAATGGTTGAATATTACCATGCTAATCTTTGTCTAATTAAGCTTTTGTGGTTATATATTGATCTGCATCAACTTATTTCTTTTAAAATTTATATTTAATTCAAAAGTCATTATTTTATGGTTGGTGAAAAAACTAATGCTGGTGTGTTAACGTGTGTTTATAACTTGAATGAAAAATGTGCTAAAATACTTATTAAAAAACAAACAAACAAACAAACATAAAGTAGGGACTGAACATGATCATAAATAACTCCCAGCACACAGTCCTTGAGCAACACATCAAAAAAGAGACAACCAATGTATGACTGCTGATCTGAGCTGAGACAAGCGACATCAAATGTGCAGATTAAACTTGTGGCGGCGACAGGTGAGGACGTTGGACACAGCAGGACCTCTATGAGATGGTTCAATGCTTCTGAAGAGCGGCTGATGTGGGATGTGTTAAAACTGAATGAAGATGCTTTCCATGTTCCTCTGGGGTTTCATCATCTAATCTAAAGTAACTATCTCACACTAACAAGGAAAATGCAACACTAACAATCAAGCAACTCAATTACATCTGCCTCTGGTCAAAAAAACAAACAAAAAAAAACAATATCTTAATAATAACTTTGTACAGTGTCATCCAAAGGGGCAAACTAAAAACAGTAAAGTTAGCAAATAAACTGAACATTTGTAAAAATAACTGTTCGATAGACAAAAGGCTCAAGTCAAAACTACAACTGGTCATCACTGACTTGTCTGACTTTGATATGGTATTTTCAATGATGACATCCCTATGAACCACTTCTTACTAAAGTATGTTCAAGGTCAAACTCAAAGTTTTTTTTTTCCCTTTCTCAAAAAAAGGTCAGCGTAGAAAGAACTCAAAGGGAGATTGAGTGAAAAGGATAGATGTAAGAGAATAATAAGACCAAATGTTAGAAAAACGAACTCAAAGGGTTTGTCATAATCTGGCGACACGTGGTAGCACATTGCCAATCCTCAGAGTGGATTAACGTTGCCTCCGAGAGCCAGGAGCGGGGTTAGGAGAGAGTGGAGAGATGTGGACGGAGAATTGTGAGTTGGGAAAGGAGGACAGCGGGGAGATAGGCAAACTGCAGCTTGCAGTACAGAAAAAAAAAGTGGATGTCCTTTTTTTTTGGTTCAGAAGTGGGCATGATTGTGACCCTGGTTAAGCTCCCCTCCATGGTGACCTCCCTCTCTGTGACTGTGCCTCTTGTGCTTCCGGCGCTCCCTCCTCCCCTTGTGGTGGTGGCGCCGGAAACGATGGGCTCGCCGAGCTGGTGACATAAAAAAAAAAGGAAGTGCAATATATTAATGTCTGAGACGAGATAAGACAAAAACCAAGAGTGGAAGACAAAATGAAAAAATACATAAATACTTGATAAGCGTAAGAGGCTTTCAGACAGCAGTGAAAACAGGGATCAACACACAGCAAGGTCAGAACCAGACATCCTTTGTGGAAGGCTCACCTGTTTCCAACACACCGAGAGAATCTGCCTTATCTCTTTTAGACTAGGACCTTTTAGCAAGGAGGCAATGAGCTAACAACCCACACACATCCTTCATGTAAGTTTTTGCTGTACTGCGCTGTCAAATTATATTGGTCTGACATGTAGTCTGCAATGAATGATAAAACAATTTATTACCCCGGGCCACAAAAACAATTCAGAGTAAAGTGCACAAGTAATGACATCTTTATCAGCTAGAACAGAAGCAGCATTATTTTACTGTTTCATCATTGCTGACACTTTTTGAGCTCACTGCAGTGAAATACAAGATAGTTGAGTATTTAATCAAACCTATGGATGGGCACAGCTGGGTCATAAGGGCAGGTGGGGCAGCACCCTTCTAAAAATCAATCGCCCATAAGAATAGTTTCTTCTATCAAATAATGTGACTTTATTGCTAAGCCTCAAGTGCATTATTTTTACAGTGCTTGCCCTCCAACTATTAATTATTTTAAACGGGATTTAAATAGTTTTTTGGTAATTCCGGTTATTTTCTGTACTTATTTGCAGTTTTTGGGCAGGTCAACATCAGTAGATTTATTACCCTGTTGGCAGTGACCTGAACTGCAGGCAGCACCAACAGATTATCAAAGTGGCACACAGGGCACATTTTGTTGGCTTCACCATTTAGTTGGTTTTAGACCAGCTATGTTGTATGGTCTGGAGACAGAGATATAAGGTTCTCCTTCGAAGTGACAAGGACGGATAAGATTAGGAATGAGGTCAGCACAGGTTGAACAACTGGGAGATAAAGTTAGAGAGGTCAGATTGAGAAGGTTTGGACATGTCCAAAGGAGGGACAGTGGGTATTATTGGTGGAAGGATGTTAGGAATGCAGCTGCCAGGAAAAAGACAAAGGAATACCAAAGAGGAGATATATGGATGCAGTTAGAGAGGACATGGAGGTAGCTGGAGTGAGGACAGAGTGAGATGGAGAAGGATGACGCACTGTGACGACCGCTGAAGAAGGAAAAGCAGAAAGAAGAAGAAGATGATGATGATGATGATGATGATGATGATGATACTTATCATGATGATGATGATGAGGGTAATAAAGATGATGACAATGATGTTATTTTGAATGCATTATCAGTGTAGTGTCATAATTGAAGTATCTTAAAAAAAATGCTCCAGGAGAAAGCCCTTGATTATTTCTTGCAAGTGTTTTAAATTATTCAGCATATAAAATAAGGAACATGAAGGGCTGAACAGTTTTCTTTTAGCACTTGTCTATTCTATTCTCTAAAATGTGAAACTGTCTTTTAAAAAATATTTTTTGAGACGTCTAAAAATAAATACAAAAGTAAACAACCTTGAGCATAAAGCACTTCAAACAATAGCCAATCATTTCTAAGCAACCATGAGAATTAGTTCAGGCTGCAGCCATGGTATTTTTCTCCTTGCACTTATTAATAATGAGAGTGGGACTGGAGAGCCAGAAAACACACAGTGACAGCAGCGCCTCCAGGCAGTTAGTGCAGGTTTGGTGTTTTGGACCTATGGTGATTATGCATGCTAAAAATTAAATAAATAAAAATACAGCTTTGAGTCTTGTCTGTCAAAACCTGTCATGTTACACTTACTTTTTATGCAGATAATTTTAGGTCGGTCCCACTTGCCATTAGCACGACACTTGGCAGTCGGCACGTGGCGCTGCAGGAAGCCGTCGGCACACTGGTAGCGTACTATGGAGTGTACGTCATAGTGGGGACGCTTTCGACCAATAAGAAAAGCGTTATCCACAGTGGGAGGGGCTTCACATAGCACTGCAGAGACAGAGAAACAGGATATTATTTATTTTGGCACCTGTATAGGGTTTTAGCTTGATTTACACTTGAAAAGTCCAGATGTTTTATGTGGGGTTCAGTGGAAAAGTTAAATAAAAGATATGTCTACAACAAGTGAAAAACTAATTAACAGCCTCAGTTTGGAGGAATAAAAGTGTACTTCTGCCCAGATGAGCATCCTGCAGATGAGTACAGATGCAGGAAATAGCATCTACTTTATTCAAAAATTTAAAGGGGAGGAGGAGCTACAAGCTCCCTCCACTTCCTCCGCTCCAAGCCCTGCATGCAACAGTGTAAGAGTTTGAGAAACATGATAACATTCAGAGGTTGTGTTGATGTCTCTGTTGAGGACGACTCTCAGTTACTGCCACTGCAGAATTTACCTCAGTATCTGTAAAACTGACAGAGGTGTGGCCATTTTTAGTTGGATATAGTTGATTAGCTGCTGAGCTCATTCAGAATTTGGTTGACCAAAAAGTTAAGTTGGTTCATAGGTTAGTTTGACTGTGCTAGAGACAGGCCAACACACACACAGACCCACATCTTGGCTAAAATAGCTAAAACCTTTTTTAGAACGAACACTTAGTGAAAGAAAAAAATGATATAGAGACTTCAGGACAGCAAAATGTGTCTGAGAGTGAGTGGGCGCCTGTCAGAGTCAAACTTCTGAAATGTAAAGAGTGGAGGCAGGATAAAGACAATATTTACAGAAGATGCAGGAGAGAAGACTGACACTAAATTCAGAAACTGACAGGATGTAAAAGCCACAGGGAAGCTCCACAATGCTCTCCTCCAGTATCTGTGGTTGTGCTCTGAATTCTCAGCTGGCAGTCCTGCAGCTGACACCCAACACATTTATACTGATTATCATATGTCAAGTATACGGCTGGTTAGGATTTAAATTATAATAACAATACCTTTCGTAAGTTTTTCTCTTTATAACAAAGTTGTGAACTTTGAACACAAATTGTTTTTTTTTTCCAAACATCAGCTTAAAACAAATGCATTCATAAGACAAACTTGACTCTAGCTCCCAACTTTATGGTAAAAAATAAATAAAATATGGCAACATTTTTGCCATAATAAGAGTTCCTTTAATGTGAATGTCTAAAATCACTGCCGCTTTAATGCAAAATAACCCCATTTTAGCAAACATGAGAACAAGGAAATTTTTATTTAAAAGCAAAATGCAATGATTTGCATATTTTGGAAACCCATATTTTATTCACAATGGAAATTCCTAAATATGTTAGATGTTTACACAAAAATGGTATCAATTCAGGAAAAATGAAGGTAATTTAAAAACTGATGACATATGACAGTGTAAAAAAGTTTAGACTGGTTCATTTTTACCTCTGAAGCATCCCCTCATTTTAACAACCGTCTATAAAGTCCATGAACTGAGATGCTGGAATTGTTGGAGGGGAAAGTAGCTACATTTTTGTCTGGTGTAAAATTCTAGCTGTTCAACATTCATCAGTCCTAGCAGATTTTTGGATTCCTAATTCCTCAATTGTTTTAATTAGTAAGAGGTCTGGACTGCAGGCAGGCCAGTTCAGCACCCAGACTCTTCTACTATGAAGCCATGTTCTGGTAATAGATGCAGTATGCCGCTTAGTGTCATCAAATGGATTTATCCAAGGCCTTCCTTGAAAAAGATGCTGTGTGGATGAGAGCATATGTTGTTCTTAAAGCTATATACACTTTTCTGCACCGATGATGCCCTTCTAGTTGTGTAAGCTGACCATGCCATAGGAATTAGAGAGGCAGGCCTTTGAAATGTGGGCTGGATGTTGTACCTAATGGCATGGGGTTTGTGATTTCCAAGATTTACTTCTAACTTTGATTTGAATTTTGAATAACTTATACATTTATGAGATTTTCAAATCTTTGCGTTCTTCATGTACATTTTATATAACAGTTTTGGAATGGGTGCTGTAAATATATACGCCTCAGCCCAAAAAGTAATCACATGAGGACCAAATCAGCAACCACAAAATGTTTCAAAGGGTTCCCAACTCCCTCCTTCTGGTCCTGATATTGTTTTAATTCACAATAGATAATGCTAGTCATTGGGATAAAAGGTTTAACATCACATTTACAGTTGAATAATGTATTGTGGATGAAAATGAGCATTTTTATGGAGGAGATTAAAAATTCAATCCAAATGAAAAGCTAAAAGGTAGTTTTCCATTTATTGATTTCATTTTCGTATTTGTTGAATCCTTTTTTTCACAGAGAGAGCAAGACAAGTCAGATGTACTAAAAGAAGAATAAAAAGGAAATGTCACTAAACATAGGAATAGCCAATAGAGCAACAATTTATAGAAGACTCGTAAAGCCAGAAAAGGTCTTTGCAGCTTAAAGACTAAAGGATATTGAAGGATACCAGTGGGAATAAAAAAATCCGCACCTGTGAAAAGTCGACAAAAAGGTTCTTGAGAAAGTGCTTTACACTAAAGGTGCTACTCAGGCTTTGACTTTACCTGCTTAAATACAAGTGTGTAAATGTAAATGTGTGCAGTGAACCACTTGAGGTATCATCTGTGCTTTTATGTTTGTGTGTGTGTGTGTGTGTGTGTCAGGGGATCTTAGTGTGAGGTGGAGGAGCTGCAGGAAGCTTAATGCAGTTTCTTTCTGCTTCCCTTTATGGCCTCAAAGCATCAAAACAAGTACTGACAATCATGGCAGAGAAAAGAGATGCAAGCTGTCCAGCAGAAAACGCACAATGAAACAATATATATATATATATATATATATATATATATACAGTATATATATATATTTTTTTCCATAAATAGCAGCATTTGTCTATATAGGTGTTGTTGGTGACAAGGTATTAATAAAAACTGACAGAAAGTGTGTTTGAGATGGGAAAAATTATTTTCTTGCCTTAAAATCTGAGCAATCATGTAATTGCCAATGTCTGTGTGGGTTACACACACACACACACACACA